CACAAATACGAGCGCACAGTGGCACATAAAATGAGTGATCAATCAGCAATCTCTCTTTAAGTAGTTTAGGTATTAAAAATCTAGATGAATGATTACATAACTTAAAAATACAGTGACGGGAAGTAGAAGCATCACGCTTATAATTAGCCATAGTAATTGTTGATACCGCTCTAGAAATGGCAGGGGTTACAGGTGCAGGTATAGGGGGTGGTTGTGGGATGTTACCGATGTCTTCTATACTCATGGATTGTAACTCCATATCCCTGTTCTCATTTTGTTGTCTCTGTCTCCATACAGCTCTGGAAGCCCTCAGCCAGCAAGGACTGCATACTCGTTCTAAACGATCCACCAACAAAAGTTATTTTTTTATCAACTAACAGAATGAACTATAGTTTTACAGTGTCTACTCTAAATATAAATAATATTTATTATTGTTCTATTTATTTCAATCTTTCTAACACTAAATAGTTTTAATGTCTTTTAAAATTATAAATATTAGCATGCAATTGTTTCCCCTCATAATATTTTTGTGGCACTACTTATTTAAATAAAAATAAATAATACATCACATATCAGACAAGAAGTAATTATTTTAGAATTATAACAATATTTCACTAAGCCCAAGTTCTTTAAAGTTTCAGATAACATTGAATGATTAAATTGAAAAACTGTCATTCTTTAAAGAATCAAGAATCAAGAATCATTTATTTGCATAAAACACGGTAAATAAGTTGTTACATCAAATAAAAGATCAACATGTTTTATCCTGTTAGGACGTGCAAATATTTAAGTATATGATCAATTGAATTTAAATTAGTTATTATTTAAACAGTACAATTATTATTATTATTATAGTATTCATATTTAAAATCATAATTCATTACAAACAGATTGAATTGAATTAAATTGAATTAAAATTAGTTATTATTTAAACAGCACAATTATTTTTATTATTATAGTAGTCATATTTAAAATCAAAATACATTACAAACATTATATTCATGGTCAAGTGAATTTATTTGTAATTAAAAAACTCCTTAATATTATAGAAAGCCCTGTCCACCAACCACATAAAAAGTTTGCCTTTAAACTTACTAAGAGGCAATGACTTTATGTCGCTAGGCAGTTTGTTAAACACCTTTATTGCCATCGAGTAACAGCTCTTATGAGAGGTTGCCTTCTTTCTAAATGGAAGAACTAGTTTATCCTTATACCTTGTATTAAAACTAACAACATCACTATTTTTTGTAAAAAACTGTTTATGTTTTTTGACACCCAACTCGAAAATATAAATGCTAGGAAGTGTTAGAATTTTTAGGGTTGGAAAAAGTTCTCTACAAGAATATAAAGGACCAACCCTGCAGATTGCCCTTACACACTTTTTTTGAGCAATAAAAGCTTTGTTCACTGTAGATCTATTTCCCCAGAGTATTACGCCATATCTCAAAACGGAATCTATATAGCCATGATAGGCGAGTAAAGCAATTTTTTGAGATGAGGTCCTTGACAATCTTCGTAATGGGTAAATGAACTTATTGATTTTTGTACATACTTCTATAATATGTCTTTGCCAAGTACAACCATCATCAATATGTATCCCCAAGAATTTTGTATTTTGAACCTCCTCTAGTTTTTGTCCATTTATATTAATGTCAATAGTTTCTTTATATTTCCTTAGGTTAAATTGTATTATTTTTGTTTTGCCTAAATTTACTTTGAGTCTATTCTTGTATAGCCAATCTGTGACACTTATAACAGCTGTAATTATTTTATCATTTTAATTGTATTTAGTGTCAGTACTTATTATGATTGAAATGTCGTCAGCAAAAAGTACAGACTTGCAATTGATAAAGTCAGGTAGGTCATTAACGTAAAGCAAAAAGAGAAGAGGCCCCAGGACACTCCCTTGTGGGACTCCACTAAGGTTGTGTTTATATTTGGATCTGTACGATATCATTACATTATTAACGTCTATATCATTTATTTCAACACACTGTTCTCTACCGCTTAGATAAGATTTTATCCACTGTAATGCTGGGCCCCGAATGCCATAGCAGTACAGCTTATCAATTAAGATATCATGACACACTACATCGAAAGCTTTACTCATATCAAAAAATACTGCAGATACTAGGTGATCTTTGTCTACACAATTAATTATTTCGGTAACCAATGAATAAGCTGCTAATGTGGTCGATTTATTTCTTTGAAATCCATTTTGCTCTACTTTTAGAATGTCAAATTTTGTTAGATAATCGTATATTCTAGAATACATAGTTTTTTCAAAGATTTTAGACAGTATAGGTACTAAAGTAATTGGTCGATAATTATTTATGTCGCATTTATCATCCTTTTTATGTGGCGGTTTTACTATTAAAAACTTGAGAGCTGTTGGAAAGGATCCTTCTATAAACGATATGTTAACCAAATGTGACAGAATTGGCGATAATTCTTCAGCACACATCTTAAGGATTCCAGTTGCTATGTTGTCGTAACCAACTGATAGTGTGTTTTTCAACGAAAGTATTACTTTTTTTATCTCATATTTATTTGAAGGACGAAAAAAATACTTTTCATATTATGTTTGGTTAATGTTTTATCAATTTGCTTCATTTTATTCGGTGAATGAATAAAATATTTGTTTAAATTCTCGGCCATTAGTATTTTGTCACTAGTAACTTTATTATTTATTTTTAATTCTTTAATACTTTTTGGGATATTATTAGCTACAGTTTTGTTTTGGATAATGTTCCATGCTGCCTTGCATTTGTTTTTACTATTTGAGATATACTTGTAATTGCTAATTTTTTGGGATTTACTTATAACTTTTTTTAGAATGTTAGTATAAAGGTAATATTTTGACTTGTTTGATATTTTTTCATTAGGTCTTGATGTATAGTAAATGTACCTCAACTTCCTTTTTGTTTTACAAGACTTTCTAAGTCCTGCTGTTATCCATTTAGCGCCATAAGTTTTTATCTGACGTTTAATTTTAATCACGGGAAAGCATAAGTCATAGAATAATCCAATTATGTCATGAAAATTACTAAAAGCTAGGTCAAAGTTTGATTCGTCATGTATGTCATTAAATTTTTTTTTTTTTTTTTTTTTTTTTATGGGATAGGGTGACAAACTAGCACACAGTCCACCTGGTGGTAAGTGGTTGCTGTGGCCCATAGACATCTACATCTATCCTCGATTACGAATCAAAATGCAGATGCGTTGTCACCCGTGAGGACTAAGATGGAATGCCTCGTTTCCAGTAAAAAGGGTCTCCGGTTCTCTACACTCACCATACGAAATACAGCAGCATTAAGCTACTATTTCACGCTGGTATTCTGTGAGAGCGTGGTCCTTCCCCGGTCGAGCCGACCCATTCATGCTACAACTATACTACTAATATAACTGCAGCATGGCTCTACCACGTATAAAATGTATGTCAGTTGCTTCATTATTTCTTTAAATTTTCTCCTATTGTCAGTGCTATAGTCTCTTCTAAGTATCCAATATGTATTTATGTAAGTTTTATATTTATAAGGAAGTTTTATACTAAGCGTTTGACCCGTGTTATGGTCAGATAACCCCAATTCATATATTTTACCTACGGCTTCTCGGTCATTGCTTATAATATGATCTATACAAGTTTTCTGTCTGGTAGGCTTTTGTATGTGATGAGTGAGGTTATTGTTTAATAAAATGTCTTTGTAGAATTCAGAAGCTTGTGTGCACTTAAGTGTGTCAATATTAAAATCTCCGGCTATAATTATTTTAAAGTCATTATATCTGTCACAAATATTATAAAGCATGTCTTGAAATTTATTTAAAAAGTCTGTTACATTGGACTTAGGTATTCTATAGATGCAGATAACACAACAGCGATGGTCTGGGAAAATAATACCACATACCTCAAAAGTGTTTTCTGCTTGATATTTATTAATTATTGTAAGATCTACAAAGTTAAAATTATTTTTACAAAGTATGCATACACCACCTCGTTTTACGTCAAGCCTTGAATAACTATTTGCAATAGTGTAGCCATTCAAATGCACACACACTTCTTCACCTGCTTTCAGAAATGTTTCACTAAGGCATATAACATCTAATTCACATCCTATTTCACGAGGAAAATCAGTTATGTATATCTGCAACAAATCAGTTTTATTAAGAAGTCCAGCTATGTTTTGGTGAAAAATTGTAAGGATTTGGTTTTTACAGACGAAAAAGTTGTCACGTTTTGACCCTTCAGCTGTTACTTCGATATTAGCATTTACATCTTCGTTCCGATGCCTCGCATAATTGTTTACATAGCAAAAATAATCTAAGATAGTTTTCTGTGTGATTTTTCTACTTTTCTGTTTATTGACATTTTTATGGCGGAAACGGATTAAATCATGACGTTTGTTAAAGCTAAGGAATTTTTCGTTGTAGTGGAGGCTATCTATTAAAAAATTTAATTTAGTACAAATGTCAAAGCGTTTTGTTTTATCGTCAATGTGAATGAAATGACAATTATTAAAATTTGTTACATAGAAGGCGAATGTTCCTATTCAACAGGTTTTCATTCAAAAAAACATTTTTTAGTACGCTTATTACAATAATAGTTAAGTTCTGTTTTTTTTTTTTTCAAAAATGCGGATAGTTCTAATAATACTTTAGTGGGGTTACAGTCATTTTCACCAAAATTAATTACTATTTTATCTTTATTATTAAAAACAACATTTTCGCATCCGTTAAGAATTTCTTCTCTAGGCGCTTGCGGTTTTGTATCTGCTGTAATACAATATTTTTCATATTTGCTGTTGAGTCTTGATCGAATTAGTGAAGAAGCTAATCTTACACATTGTTGCCCTCCAAATATGTGTATCTTATTTAAAGTTTCTTTAGCCGTAGTAGCAGTTTTAGGCGACGTGATATCTTCTAGTGACGTATCCTTATCGCTTTCCTTAGTTTTAGCTTGTATTGCAAAATCAGGGCAGTAGCTTGTTTGTATTGAGGAATCGTCAAGAGATTTGTTTTGTCGCATAAATGTTGAGTCTCCTTTTATTTTTGACTTGCGCTTTCTGATACTCCGTGAACTTTTCCATGTGCAAGTTTTCTATTTCTGTATATGCACTGGCAAGTTTACTATTCAATTCCTCAATTTTTTGCTTTAATTGAATATATTCGTCGTCATAGTCACGAGTAGAAAGATCAGGAAGGCTTCTTCTGGGAGATAACGAAATATCCTCCAAAGAATTATTATTTTCTTCTAGTAATGAGTGACCTTTTACGTCATTAATTATAGGTTCGTATTCATTTTCCCTAGTAAATTGCTTTCTAAGAGTTATATTGTCTGTTATAATATTAGAATTTTCTTGTGCTGTACTCGTATATGCTATAGATGTGTTTGCTTTAGGAGTACTTATAAAAATGGGATTAATTTTACATGATTTTGTAGGTAATGTATGTTTATTTAAGCATTTGTTGCATTGCCATTGATTCTTGCAGTCAGATGTCATCAAATTAAATTTCCTTATCGTCATATTTACACATGAAATGTCATAATTATTTTTACATATAGAACACTTGACACCTTCCTTTGTGATATTTTTCTTACATTTAAAACATTTCTTGGTTCTGGAAGCGGGTTATTTATTTATTGGCGTCATTTCAGCAAAAAGAAAAGAAAAATTAAAATAAAAAATAAAAAAGTAACAGAGTTTGTCAACCGGGTTTGAACCACCACTTTCCGGCCGTTAAATAAGTCTCGGTTCAACACTGTGACCGTTGAGCTACGGTAACGACATGCACTTATGACGAAAAGTCTGTACAGGTTGCTCCATCAAATTGCGTTTGAGTTATTTTATTACCTTATATGGTAATAGTCACACACGTCACATAACACTTTTAGAATGATACAACCAAACACGTTTGAGCCGTTATTTATACACTAATATCACTTTTGTTAAATGTTAAATCTACACAGTCTTCTCAGTTATTTAAGAGGAATCGATTGCTATATTTTTTTGTAAGAATAATCCACTTTTAACCCTTAAAAATAATAAAATACACGGAGACAAACTAAATAGGTACGTGCGCTCGGGCTAACACGTCCAGACCTATAGTCCTATGGGGAGTTCTATGTTTACGAGTTGGGGTACTTTCAACTAATTGTAAATAATTTTGTAGATCTTAATAAAATAGAAAAGATTCGATCTCAATTCTCTAGGATGAAATATCGATTCACTAGATCGATTCAGTACTATATATCGATATGACATTGACAGATGAAACGTCAAAAACGTGAGAATATTTAATTAATTAGTCATTTGCCAATATTTTTAAAAAATAAATAAAAATACTTCGATGCTGCTTCGGCAGCAAAACTCGCGTGTGGGTGCTTCAGATAAACCCCCTTGACGCCCCCCACAGTAACTGAATCTTCAAATTGAGGCGACCAAATTGTAAACCCAACCCGTTTTATTTATACTAATGGCATTTAAGGTAAAAATATTACTTGTATAATAAGTACAAAGGCATACAAATATGGGTGTAAGGTAAGGAAGAAGTAGCGTTTATCTAATAACAACTAAAAATAAAAAACTGGTTATTAATGGCAAATATCCCCCCATAAGACAATCTATGGGGAGTTCTATGTTCAGCAGTAGACTTTTGGTAGACTGTAAAGTTAAAGATAACCTGTTAGTGAACAGCCATGTTGAATGAGCATAAATATCAGGCCAAATTGTGTGCAAGGTGTCTGATTTTACAAACATCAATCTGTGTACCAAAGCGATTGTGGCAAATCCTCTGGGCAGGCCTATTTTAAGCAGGGGACCATTTACAGCCTTTTAAAATAAAGTAAGTACCTGGTGTGATGGTATCCACTGCAAAATAATATCTCTTTCTTCAGAGTTAATAGGCACAGTCCGTGTACAGTGTGCTCTTAAAATTGAAGATCCACATGGAATACAAATATTCCTGTACCCAAATCTTCTAATGGAGTGAGCAGATGCAACACTTTCTTGCAATATTCTTAGGCAGTTACAACAAACTGCATCAAGTGGGTGTAACTGAAAAAATCAGGAATTAAAAATAAAAGAATAAATAATTATTAAGTTCAGATAAATGTACATTTTGAGTAGGGAAGCGAAGTTGGCATGAAAGTGAATGTTTGATGTGGAATCCTATAGTATTTGAAATACAATATATTTTCAATTAAAAAAAAATTGGAAATCCAAAAAGCAAATATTGATTAATAATATATTATGATTTTACAGTATATCAGGTATATCATATAGTGATAAATAAACTTTATAATATTAGAGTATTATGGAGTTGTGTAATATTAGTAATATATTATGGGGGAGGCCTATGTTCGGCAGTGGAGTTTAATTGGCTGTAACGGTAATATTGGAGTGGATTAAAATATTTTACATTGCACAAAATAACTTATTTTTCTATTTACATAATATTTTATCCTTAGAATAAATATTGACACACATATATATACTTTTTCGACTTTGATTTCTGATTGACTGACAAAAGATAATTAGACACACATAACATGTGATACATCATACCATGCCACAAAAACTTCATTTGTGTATATGGTGTGACTTTATTTTATCTGTTATTTAAATTAGATTTCACTAATAACATAAAACATCAATACTTTAACATTTAACACATTAATAAGACCTGTGTTTATCATTTGTTAAAGGTTAATTCAGTATAAGTTATAGATTTTACAAAATTCTAGGAGGAAAAGTAAACTTATATTACTCACATGGAATTTTACTCGTCAGTTTGCATTTTCGAATGTCATTGGCGAATTATATACAAAATTTGTGAAATAGGTATTTAATATTTGACTTACGTGCATGATATAACCCTTGGGTTAAACATTTTTTGCATCAATTAGACATTAACATACGAATCCACTTGTAAGCAGAAAAACTACGTGAATTTTCATTTTTAAACTTTTACTTTAACATGAACACAGTTTACATCAATTTAAACAAACGAGTTTATACCATATTACATTTTTTCTACCAAATAGTTTAAAACTACAGACTTTATTCTTACAGTCAATGCCAGTCAATGGAATGGAGTCAATGCAAAGATCTATGCCTGTAAGTTGGTAAATAGCAGGAAAGAATGCAGTGTCATCTTGTGTCAAAATGTAAAATAATTCAATCAATATAATATATCATTTATCATTTTAATATAACGAAAGATTAGAATTATAGCTGTAGAAGGTATGAATTTATTAATAATATGAAGGGATATTTATTATTACTTTTAAAAACTTAAAATAATTAAGTACTTAAACATGTATAGATCGTTATGTGTTCCTGGAGTCTGTGGATCGTTTTCCTTTCTTATTATTTCTAAAAAATCGTACCATATCCCATCTTATTCAATAAAAATAAAAATATTAAGTAATATATTTAAAAAAGAAAATATGTAATTTTCGTTTCCACAGTATAGTAATATTGTTGGAATAAAATCGAGAAAAACAGAAATAATATATATTGCTCATAAAAGTTTAAATCTAGATATATGTAAGTAGATAGATTGTATAGTGCAGTTACTAGCTTTCCATGAGATAATATTATACCCACCTCGTGAGAAATCCACACAGATAAAAGTTGGCGCACATCAGCAGTTATCACGGCCAGTAATTGTCTTCGAACACTGCGTTGAAACCTGACTCCACAATTGCAACGTACACTTCTATTTTCATTGTATGCTGATCTAGCAGATTCCATTTTCTTAAAATCGCATATAAATACAAAAAAAACAGTAGCGTGACGAACGTCAATGCCGTTAAGATTAAAGATGTGATGACCCCACCCCGCCGTACCCGTCCGCCGGCCGCTGGGAATCACCGGAAGTCAATGATAAAATAACGTTTTGGTTCACAGTCATTTAGAACTATGTTATAATATGATATTAGCTAAACTTTTAGAAAGTAAACATAAAGTTCTTAGTGGTATTTTTTTTAGTCAGCTTTGTGAAAAAATAGTTTTCTTTTTTATACAAACTGCAAAATGACTAATTAGGTACACGCATTTTACCCATATTACACTAATCAGAACACGAATATCAAAACAACTAACTTTTTTTCATATTTCTTGATTCCATTTACATTTTCGAAAAATCTGTAGGCCATTTACTATTATAATTTGATGTCTTTTTTGATGTAATACCATTAAGTGACGTTAATATTTCTAGTGGGCCCAAAAATGATTGTCCCCTTTATCCCAGAAGTCTGTTAAGCTATTATCAATGAACTGAAAGACAATGTGAAGGTAAGAAATGTTTTATTAATAATAGGTTCCACACAAATTAAAAAAATAATATAAGAAGTATAATTAAACGGAATCATCGACATCAAAAGAATCCGCGCTGTACTGCGATCTGCTTGGACTGCTTTGACTAATACCAGCTTCAGAGGTACTACCTGTTGGCCGGGCGTGCGCTGATGAATAACTCGGATCCAGTGTAGCTGTTTCTGGCCGTTTTGTATAATAATTTTGGGACTGACTTGTATAGTAACCATATCGTTCATTGTTACTAAAATATTCTGCGTCAGCCTTAAATACGATATCACATAAACGCTGTTATACCAAATACTTCGTGCGATGATCGTAACCTCTCAATTTATTCTCTAAAAATTTACAAAACGTGCCAATCTCTTCGTCTTGATTTGAATTGGTCGATGCTAATTTTAAAATACTAAATGCATCCTTTAACATGGCAAGTTTTAGATCGTACTTGCGTTTTTTTGGAGGCGTCGGAGACGCATTTGTCGAAGATGGAGGTCCATCTGTAGTTTGTGCAGTAGACAGTTGGTCGAGAATGGCATCATTATTATTTTCCTAAAAACAAAACAAAACAGGCTAAAAATGTATGTAAACACTTTATTGTATAGGCAGCGACATATTAAGCTTTACATATTTCTTTTTAGTTGCCTAACAACCCTCAAGAGTGGTTGATGTCTGATGCATTCGACGAGTTATGGAACTTTCCTCATTGGCGCAGTGGATGGAAAACATGTAATTTTACAGGCGCCTGTTAACAGTGGTACCGAATTTTAAAACTATAAGGGCCATTTCAGTATTGTGTTATTTATTTTAGCCGATGCTAATTACAAGATTAGGTTTGTCGATGTCGGTTGTCAGAGCCGAATATCGGATGGTGGAGTATACAAGAATACTAAACTATACTCTTTGATAGTAAAAAGGTGAATTGAATTTGCCCACTCTAACACCTTTGGAAGGACGTAATAAAGTTATAACATATTATTTACTAGGTGCCTCTGCATTTGCATTGTCCGAAAACATGATGAAACCTTTTCCCGGCCAAACACATGCGAAAGGTACTCTTGAAAGAGTGTTCAACTATCGTCTAAGCAGAGCACGTCGTGTTGTGGAATACGTTTTTGGTATAATGGCACAAGTCTTCAGAGTTCTAAGAAAACCACTTATGGTAGAACCAAATAAAGCAGAAGTTATAGTTCTAACGACCGCTCACT